TTGGGGGAGGGTTTTTTTTTTTGTTTTTAATCCCCTTCATTTCTGGTGGAAAAGGGAACAAACTGCCCCTGTGGCAGCCACTGTGCAGCTCCACGTCTCCACAGCAAAAAGGTGACACCCAGATGCTGAGAGGGCTTCAAGTTCAACCATTGGGTGGCTTTATTGGATGGTTACCTGGGCCGTGTCATGGAACATCAGAAGAAAGGTTCTGCATCACAGGGACGGGCTGCAGGAACTCCAGCCTAATGCTACCTAATGAAAGTCAGGAGAGATACTGGGAGGGAGGACTTTGTGCTGCAGGACAGGCAGAGCTATTGTGGGGCTGATCCTGCCAAGGAGCCAGTCCTCTTAGTTCCCATCAGATTAGCGATGATGAAGGTCCTCAGTACTGCCCATAGTCCTCCCAAGTTCAAACCAGTTGCCCTTCAGTTGACCGAAGCCCAACGCAAGTCCCTTCCCAGCAGGGGATGGGGGTGCTCCGGAGGTAGAAAACACACCTTATCTTGCTTAAACACAGAGCTTAACAAAAGTATGAGTGAAGGTCATGAGATAGGGACAGAAGTGGAAATTTTAAACAACAGGAGATTGATCTCTTCAGGGCTTTTTTTCTGAGCTTAGCTTCACAATTCAGTATTCAACACAAGTAGAGGTGTATCATCAAGTCTTCCTGCAGTAATGGAGAAGAGAAGCTCTAGTCTGAGCTGGTCTATGGGCAGAGAAAAGTGATGAAGATTTTTCTGAGCTAAAGCTCTGAAATATGCTTGCAAGGAAGCTGGAAATTCTCATCCCAACACCTTTTTTTTGGCCTTCTCTGTAAGAGGGGAAGCTTTTTTTTTTCCATCTGACCTTGCCTAGACATGTCGTGTGATTGACCCAGGAGCACTCTATTTCCCACAGACTCGGGTTGAACGTGCAATGCACTTCCAGGTCCTCAATGACAGTGTAAAGTTCAACCAAGGATCACTCTGTTTAGCTGTGCTAGGGGACTGTAATCCCAGTGGGTCAAAATGTTTAGAGTTAAAGAGGTTACAGGCTTTTCTGAGGGAGTATTTAAACTCTGTCTGTCAAACCACTTGAAGAAGAAGAGATTTATAGACTCCGCCAGCAGTACATTAAACTGCTGTTTTCTTGTATTTAAATTAGTAACACACATTGTTTTCATGTTGCCCTAAGAGAATAATTAATCTGTGGCAAATGTACGCCTATAAAAATTATAAATACTAGATTTTAAAAAACAACAACAGTAAAGAAATTTGAGGAGCCATATGTTGATGGGAGCCACATCAAGAAGGCTCTTGGTGAAGCCATCGGAATGCCTTAGGGGCCTCATCTTTTCAGGAAGCCATGTAAGGGACTTGAAACCTGCTTCACATTCAGTTTAATTGTGCACCAAAAAAAACCCCTTGCAGACTCTGCACATTAAAAGAATAAAAAAAAATAATAGGCAGAGCTTTTCCTCAGGGTCTAAACAAGTTTGAAAATGAGGAAGTTTGGTATTGCAATTTTCCAGGAAACCTCAGCGTCGCTGCCTGACACTATTGTTCCATACTTCAGTATATAATACAGATGCAAGTCTGATAAATTAAGGGCTTCACAAATTGTTTTCTTTCCATTTACAGGAGAAAAGGCAGTGCAGGAACACAAATGACATCTGCTGCAAGACTCAGACCACTTCAGTTTCTCTACTTGCTTTGAAGAAGGTGAACCGACTGCCAATGTTTGACAAAGGAGAAGTGCAAGCAAGGCTGTGGTTGAAGCAATGTCACGTCTAGGACACGATAATTATTGCTCAAATACTTGTCATTGAAATACCTAAGCAGAGACAGCTTTTCTGCTCCTTACCTCTGGATATTGCAAATATTTCCATTGACTGAATGTAGGTATATGACAAAGAAACAGAAAATGAAGACAGCGCCAACAGTGGAGTGGGGACAAAGATAATTCTTACAGGAGCAAGTTCTGTGAACAAAGGAGTGTTGAAGCTCAGATTCCTGCAGGCTCAACTCTCCAACCTTGACATTCCCCTCTGTAATAACACACAGGCCGCTCTCATCTGCAAAATGCTCCACATTCACTAAAATATTTAAGATACCATTTCCCCATGTCCAATCCTTTTTCCCTTCCTCCCTGGCATCTCCCACCCCTCCACCAGGTCCCCGCTGCAACAGCCTCCCCTTCTGCCTACACCCCCAGCCTGTTCTGGTGTGACAGCAAGGCAGGAGCCAGCAAAAGCTTGGTTGGATTTGACATGTGCAGAGTGACTGCTGCTTGACAGGGTGAACCAGCAGCCACGTTTTGGAGGTCTCTCCTGTGCCCCTGTGATGACCGCTGCCCTTTAGCAAAAGGGGATGAAACTGAGCAGTGGACTGGAAGGTGACTGGGGACAGGGAGCAACTGCCCAAGACAGCTTGTGCATAGGTAAGTCTCACGTAGGGCATTCAATGTGAGCAAAACAATTTAAAAAAAAAAAAAAAGGTGACTTTCACTGCAAGCATTTTCTCTAAGCAGGTAATTGGGAACACTGGGGAAAACAAAACAAAACAAAAACAAAACAAGAGACAGCTAGTTTGAGGGATTTCAGGTGTTGATGCTTGAAGAGGAACAACAGGCCTTTGATATGAAGCAGCGTAATAGTACTAACCGCGGTATTTACATTCTTGGTTTTCTTTAACAGCTAAGTAAGTTAGACACACTCCTGGGACCTTCACCAATCATACCAAAGGAGAATGTTTATTAGGGTGATAAACAACCAACCCTCATGTCTCCCATCAGGTAGGACCGGCCAAAAGAGAAGAGGGGAAAAGAGAAATCACAGAACCGTTGAGATTGTAAAGAACCTCTGGAAGTACTCTGAAATGCCTAAATATTACAACTAAAGCGGAATGCAACATAAATACTTGGCTGAATCAGGCTCATGGCTGTTGCTTCTCAAACGCACAGCGGTGTGCACAATTCTGTTTGCTGCTGATTTTGGCAGCCAGACTGGTGCCAGTGTGGTTACTGCAGAAGGAGTGAGAAGGGTAAAAGTATCCTCCTGGTTTAACAGTAAGCGCAAGACAAGCAGCACCCTGTTCAGCTGGGGTACCTGCACTGTGGGGCTAACAAATCCAACAAGAAAGACAAAATCCAGGGAAGTGTGAAACCTGTTTACGGTGAGTTCCACCACCTCCTCATTATCAGCAGTTTCCAGACTGTGTCTTTGCCTGCCTGCCTGAGTAACCCCCTCCCCACCCACGCACATTCCTTTCCAGCCATGCTGCTTTATTTGGCTTATCATTATCTTTTTGTTAAACTCACTTAATCGGTGCATTTAACTCTTTACGATCCTCAATAGTCCCTCAGGTATCACTTGTTTACTGAAAAAGCAGTCATAGCCTTAAGTATTACATTTCAAAACAACATCTAAATTGAAAAAGGTTTTTACAGTGCCAGTGTTTGACTGTCCTGGCTCCAGTAACTCACACTTGGTAAAACACTTGGTGCAATAAGGGAAGCTGGACTTTACCAGCCACAAAACTGTCCAAGTCAAAGCTTACACACAACCAGGGTATTTCCAGAAATCCAAAGTCTACTTTTCATAAGCTCCTTTAAGACAACGAAGCTGCACCCTCCTGCAATGAGCTATAGGGCTTTTACTGCATCTCTTGCCGATGAGAGGGGATCCCCTCTGTGCTGCTCAAAGCCGATGGCTCACCACGAACGCTGCACCTGGGCTACGTTTCCATAGCCAGACCTATCGGGAATCTAAGGAAGAAAATCTCAAGGGGAAGAGGTTCCAGCAAAACTCCTAATGCTGATATAACTATGTCAGGAAGAAAAAAAAAATGGCAATTTGGTTTTATTTGGGGAACTGCTGCAAGCTTTACACACACAAAAATGTTGGTATAACACCCCCCCCAACTTTTAAGAGCATAGCCACAGACACCATCAGAGGCAGCACGCAGCTTCCATATGGAAGGGGAGATTTTCTCCTTCTCAGTGAGTGTTTTTGATGGGGGACTGGGAGTGAAGGGGGTGGTGGTATCTCTTTTAAGGATTTTTCTCCACAAGAATTACTTTACTAATGAAAAAGTACCACTAGACTGAGCTGGTAATGCACTCTTCCCTGCGGGTGTAGTACTACAGGTAATGCTGGGGCCAGTACCCATACGTCAAGGCATCAGCAGAAGTGCAAAGGGTTTGCCCACTCAAAAGCAGGACTGTGAAAGGGTGTCACCACCTACGTGTCCTCTGCCAATGGTTCTGCTTGTCAGAGCACAGCATTACTAACTGCTCCCAGAACCCTGTCGCATAGATATAACTGAAAAGCTGTATATAGAAAAAAGCTTTGCTTTATTCTCAAACCCATTTGTAACTTCTGGATGGAAATAGTGAAGTCCCTCTAAACACAGGACACGGTAGGGAAATCAGGAAAAAAACTCAACCCAAACAAACAGCAACAACTCTATGATGCCACAGGTTTTTAATCCAGAAGAGCGTTCTGCCACAACACCACACTCTTGGTAGAAAGGCACTGAGCAGGGTGTCTGCCACCAGGCTCTGCTGGAGAAGAGGCTCCCCATCCTTCCCCCGTGTACGGCAGCGAGGCCCCGCTCCTGCCTGTGAAAATGGCACGTTTCTGACATGGTAACAACATGAGTTAAATTCCCAGCCTGAACCCGGCGAGTTGTAGTTTTAACATGTTAACATGTTCTACCATGGGAAAAGCTGAAGTATTTTTAGCACGGCCTGAGTGTTTGTCTCTGCACTGTTCTGGCCTTTTTTGGAATTTTTAACTCTGGAAACAAATACAATACCCTTTGTAATAGTGAAACACCACCTATTTTCTTTTATTGTTTGCCACAAAGAAGACCACGAGTTGTACTTCCAAAGACATTAAAGGAGAAATGTAAATTAGCTACTTTTGACACAGCTTTCCCCCTTCGTAACACCAGACAGTTCACTTACTGTTTCCCTAATTCCTTCCCATGCCCCCCAGCCTTTCCTACTGACATGCTTACCTCTGACAAAATCTCAGCAGAAGAAACACTTTTCTTTGTTATGAAATTCAGTCCCCAGTTGTTGCTTGAAGGCGCTGCCGTTTGAAACTGCGTGTGAGCACAGCAAGAGGGACCAACAAAATACACCCGGGAACGGTATGACATGCAGCTGCCCTCTAGTCCTGCCCCTCTCACAGCCACTCAGCCCGGTTTCCAAAATGTGTTGGGGAGAAGCATCTGACATCAGTATGTTGTTTGTTTTTTTTAATCACGTTAAAAATCCACAGCTGCATTATCTATCTCCTCCACCATGCTGTGGGCAAGTCAGTCAGGTATAAAGGAGGAGATGGACTTTAAGCACAGATGTAACGACAAGAACCAACACAAGGCAAGCCTGAGGACTAACGTAGAGCAAAGGAGGGACTCTCCCCCTCTCCTATCTTCTATCCCATTTCAAATAATACCCCCTTCCCCCTCCCCTCTGGCACCAGCAGACGCATGCCACACGGCCGAAGGGACAGACGCCTGGCAGCCCCGCTGCAGGCAGCTGCAATCAGGGCGCCCGAGTCACCCGGGGAAACAAGGCTCTTGAAAGGACTAAGGGTGAGAGAGGATCCTGTGGCTGCAAAAGGAGACTGTGGTTGATCGTCTGGTCCCAGCTGAAGGGGGAGAAGAACAAGCTGTTTGGTCCAGTCCTCCTCTTCCTCATCTTCAGAGATCGCCATCACCACTGCTTCTGGAGTGGGGGAGGAGATGGGGTGGGGGACTGCGCTTGGCAACTGGGACTCATCTCTCGGGCAGCAGGACGAAGAAGATGGCCTTGAGGAAGTGACCAAAGCTGCAAACAGCAGCCACAAGCCAGTGGGAGCGAAGGCTGGGGTCAGTATTCACCACGCATTTTGTGATGTCTGCCTGATGAGGAGGGAACAGAGATCATCAGAAGGAGATACCCAGAACCACATCAGCCCCTGCGGCACCCTCCCGGCCCCGCAGCACCATGCCACCTCCGCTGCCACCACACCGGCAGCAGCCACAAACACTTGCTCTGACACTTCCACGCACCACAAGTCATTAACTCAGGTTTAAGAGCTCTGTGAAATACATTTTCTTCATTCTGCATCAACAGGGCAGAGCATCCCCCTTTTCAGCTACCCCTGAGGAAAGAAATGCTACAGAAAGATTGTCAAGCATTTTCAATTTTGAATAGATAAATAAAAGAAACTTTCTTCCCCTTTTCAAAATGGCTAGGAAGCTTTGGCAATATCAGTATTCTCATCCTTTTCTGCAAAGCAAGATGCTTCCCAGAAGTTGTCCTGTTTAATATCAGCTCAAATTGCTTGCACTTTTTCTCTTGTCTTAATGTTTTATTTGGAACTCCTTCAAGCAAACCAACCCCCAATTTAAATCTAAAGCAATGCAAGCTTTGTTTGTGGAAATATGTATGCTGGCAGAGATGCCTCCCAGACGCGTGGGCCTGATTTAAAGATCGCTTGGGCAGCTGGTTTCAAGTATTAACAAGAATAGAAGCTGGCCTGCAATGAATAAAAAATAACAACAATCCAGCAAATTCATGAAGACAGGATCTCAGCTGGCATCGGGAGGAAAAGGTGGAAAATATCCGGAGGGTAAACTGAACAGGACTGAGGTAGATAAAAAAACTGCATCTTTTCGTGGGGGAAACAAATTAAAGTTCTGCCAGCAATACAATTGAGTTTGTGGTTAAACTTCAGCCTAGCACAAGGAGACGGGGAGTGTAGTTCTGTAACAGAGGGAGCAATGTTAGCACATCAACTTGACGCAGTTTTCAGAAACAGCAACAGGAATCAGGTCACAAGGAAGGCAAATATTCAGCAGCCCCAAAAGCTTTTTCTTTACAAGCTTAGCTCGGCAGCCTTCAAAGTTTGCCTTCTAACACCAGTCTCTCATTGACCAAGCAGAGGGAAGTCAGACTCTCAACCCTGAGATGTTCCTCCCCAAAAAACAGGACATGAGAGCTGCCAGATATTCCAATAAACTTTTCCAGTATTTCCACGTGTTCAAGGCATGGGTGAGCCTCGCCTGACCAACCCTGGTAATGATTAGAAGAAAACAAAAAGGGGACTGAAAGGACAAATCCCTGTGTCTGGTTAGTGAGTACAGCCATGCTAACCGACTCCATCGTCATCGACAGACCAAAGGTCTGTTGACAGCAGCCCCAACAGCCACCCACGCAGTTCCAGCAGCTCCTCCCTCACAAGGAACTCTGAAAGGCTGGCACGTTGAATCACCCTGCACTGCTGTTCCCCAGGAAGCATTAGGAGACGCTGAGCCCACAAGTAACTGATGAGTAGAGATTGCAGGAGGAATGAATACAGGCACTCGGGGATGGGAAGAAACAGGATGACAGGAGGAAGCTGAGTCAGCACGTGGGGTGCTCCTGAGGCTGAGCACCAAGGTGTGGAAATGCTGCCGCCTGTAAAAGCACAAGCAAACGTAGCAAGCAGCCAGGGTAGCACATAACAGAAGATACTGCAACATAGTGTCAGTGTTTATAGGTACTTTATTGTGGAGGAAAGTAAAATGGGTCTGACTAAAGGGTTTCTGTGATGGCTTAGCAAACCCACCCTATTTGCATTTTTTAAAAGTCTTGTCCGATTTCAGGGACCAGCATGTCCCTAAAAAACAGTCAAGCTGTTTCTTTAGTCAAGAGAAGTCATGATGTGCAGGTACCTGCCTGAACATGTATTCAGATATTAGGGTAGCTGATCAGTAAGAAACCTAAGGCTTTAGAGCCCCACGTGAGCCAGAAGGCGGCCTAAATATGCATACCAGGTTGATTATAGCTGCAGAGGGTTAACATGAGAAAGTGTGAACTCCTTCAAGCTGTGCTATGCCCTACCAAAGGCAATGACCTCACTCTGGCTAACCAAGAGGACCAGCAGTCAAAAGCCCTTACAAATTTGTATGGTGCTTGCTCAGATAAACAAAATCGCTCAGCTGTTTAACAACTGCCTTAGCTATTGTTATCTAAATAAAGCATACCTGATAAGGCACTGGAATTGAAAGTTTCAAAGCTACTTAATAAAATGGGTCTTTGAGTCTTGCGAGGCATTGATAAACTGTTGCAATGGCAGTTTGATCTTCACCTGTTAATTATTCAAACAAGTTCAAGTTGCATGCTCTGCTCTGTAGCAAATGTATGTAACAGCTGCTAAAAAAAAAAAACCAACAACAAAAATTTTTTGTTCTAGTGTAAAGCCATGACTGAGACTGCAATCTCTCCCCAGGGAGAGATGATGCCTCAAAGGGATAAAAGTTTCTTTTTTCTCCTAAGAGGTTTGTTTTGGGTCAAGCTTTGGGCAGTAGGGTCTTCCTCCACCCTGTGAAAGCCGTAGGGGAACCTACTCCTGGGTGGAGACTTTCCAAGCCCTTTCCAAGATCTCCACAGTGGCTTTTCTGAAAGGCGCTCGGAGCACACCAGTTCCTCTTGGCAGCCTCAGCCTGAGCCGATGCGTTAAGAGACGGGGCCATGTGCACAGGGGAAACAAGGACTCCACGCCAAGACAAACTAACAACCAGCTCGGTCAGGCAGCAGCTGAAAGGGTCCCCACTACAGAGCTGTTTCGTCTGGCCCGTTAGTGAACAAGGCTGGGAAATTCCATGCTGCAGTCCTGAGATCAAGAGGAAGAACGTTCAGGGAAGCGCGGCACAGGATGGCAAGAGGAAGAGCAGCCTTTCCCCAGACTGAAGGAACCCACTCATTTCCAGAGGGAAAATATCTCCTTGTTGCAGCCCAAAGTTGCTGAAAAGGGTACTGGAGACAGGCTGTAATCAGCACGACCCAGCAGCTTTTAGGGTAATTCTGTCTGATCGCAGGCAGTGAGACTGGCTTCCCTTCCTTAGGGCCAGACCCCAAGAGCAAGCAGCACGTTTCAGCAACTCCAACAGAAACGTGCTGGCTGTCCGAAGAGGGATGATCAGCAGAAGGAGCTAGCAGTGGACAGGACCTACCTCCTCAGCTGCAAAGAACCACTTCTGGGCAGGGGAGGGGTTTTGTGGCTTGTTTGCTATACAACAAACTTTCAAAAAATATCCATTTGGAACCATCAAAACACCCTGTTTTGAACTCTGATAATGTAATAAAAAATTAAAACAGATGATAACTCATCAGAACATGCATGTTTTACCAAAACAAGGAAAAAAATTAGTTGGAGACTAGGAGGAGACATATTCCTATGCAACATTTCAATTTTAATGAAACTGGATTTTTTTCCAAGGGAAATATTGTTTTAGAGAATACAATTCAACCAGGTCTATAGGTACCCAGTTAAAGTAAGACTCCAGTGGCACTGAGGCAGGGATTTCACAGGCAGAAACAGCACTACTTAATCAGTCACTTTCCCAGGACATCCTCTTCACCTGTCTCAGCACGATTATTGGTGCAGACGCAAAATGAAACATATCAGGGCATTCAGCTCAAACCTTACTTTCCAGCCCAACCAAAGAGTTCCCTGACTCGGCCTCAAGGTCACACAGTTTTAGAGAGGGCAGGGATGAATTAAGTGGCAGTAACACTTAGTGAATGCAAGGGATCCAAAATCAGAACAGCACTACTTTTCCAGTTGCCATCCATCAAAAAAGATGCCTTCACTCCTGGAGAAACTAAGTGACTGAATCAGTTACGGGCACGCTTGGGGACCCTCAGCACAGAGGAACTATTCTCAGTTTGGAAATAGTCATGCCCCCTCTCTCTGGGTCTGCGTGAGGCGGGGAGCCCGACCATTTCCTGACGCTCAGGAATAAATACCACTTTTTGGAAAGAGGGAACTTTGCCACTGTGGCTCAGTCCGGAAAGGATCCATGGCTTGGGAACAAGATGTCCCAGGAGCTCAGTGGTGACATACAGCAATATTTAGCTCCAGGCAGTACAGCACAGTGCTCTCGGCTGTATCACCCCAAGGAGTGTCTCTAGCCCTGCCCGACAGGCACAGAGCCCCTGGTACGTACACACATCACCCAGCTGCACCCTGCAAACACAGCCAAGCACTCCTCTCAGTCTCTTTTACTAGAGGTGAGAGGGAGGGAGGTCACTGTCTGGCTATTCCACAGCACCAAAGCTCTTACCCTGAATCATCCTCCACAAGAACATTGTATTTTCCATTGGGTATAGAGAAAAACAAAGAAACCAGATGCTTAAAGCCACACTCCGATGCAGAGCAGCCTTAGGTGCTCTGTTTCAGAGCAGGCCAGCGACACAGCCACAAGCCCTCCCTCACCATGGATGGGTGTTATGAGTGCCCTTCAAAGCATAAGTGCACAACAATTTGAGCTACATCAGAAGAAATTATTCATGGGGCATCATCAGGGTCAGGTCAGGGAATGGCACAAACTGCCAGGGTTTAATATCCCTCTAAAATTCCTTATGGTGGCAAGTCACATCAATATACTAAGCTTGGACTTGGGGAACTGTGGGGCGGGAGAAAGGGAAATCAATTGGCAGGCTTCATTTTTTTCAGTTTCTAGATAACAGCTGCCCAAGACATATACTCCTATTTATAGTCTCCCACTATGGGTGGCTAGCAGCTCCAGAGATGTTCAGGTCAGAAACAGAAGAGGCCCTGGTGGGTCAGGACTGAATTAGCCTGGCACAGCTACACAGGAAGCTGAGGACCAGAACAGCTGATGTTGTCTAGCACAGGACCACGAGGCAGTAACAGAGCCATATGGAGCCTAGCACAAGTGGAAGTAGGATGGTGGTGGCCACAGGGCTGTGGAAAAGAATCTCATTTGATGTTTTTCTGCATAAAGGTGCAGTGGGGGCACTCTTACTTTCATTAAAGGGGATATTTTCTGCTCTGCATGTGCAGAAACAAGCTTGATCAGATAGCATCTCTTACCCAGCCTCCTCTCCTTTTCAGCCACGTCACCAAGGTCTTGCGGACAAACTCCCCCAGGCAGTCCACGATGGTGTGAACCATGGCTGGCTGTGCATGTCGCACACAGTCCACGGCCAGCCCGGCTGCCACAGCATAGAGAGACACCACTTTGCCCCACGTTATGCCTAGGAAAAGAAGAAAGGTCATTCAGATTTACACACGCATGCATAGCTCAGTCACGAACAAAGGAAACAGCTCTCCTTCATTATGTGTGCCCACGCTGCCTGTGTGCAGCTCTGAGCTCGGGTGCAGCCACGGTTCTGTATGCTTTTCATCATGGGGGAAAAGAAATACTAGGGGAGTAGGGTTGGGCAAAACTCTCCACCTGGAGAAGCAGAATTAAATGATCTGACAAGGGCATGCTCCAACCCCTTCTCAGCACTGGGTGCACAGCTTTGGAGAAAGCAGCCCACAGGGATCATCAGTCACAGGGAAGATGTGCACCACGGTGGTTTATACTTCCATTAGCTCTCAGTCGTGCACATGCTGCACAGCAGGCAATTGAATTCAAAGAGTTTGAAGAACCTGGGGGTTTTATCACCAGCACAAGTCTTAAACACCCAAGACAAAGCCTGCCTGCTTTTTTCTAGATCAGAGAAGACTTCCAATGTGACACACAAAGCACACATGCAACAAGCAACTTCAGCCAGTTCTACCATGACACAAGAGCAAAAAAGGGAGGCAAACCTTCAGGGCCAAGAGAGTTGGCATCCTCCTTGATGTAAGGAGTATGCCCCAATCTCCACCTGAAAAACAGGTAGTTTCAAGAGTTTTGCCACTCTGCCTTCATTATTTAACATTGCATATCCTTTCCCACGAAAGGCAGTGCAGGGACAGAGTGTCAGGCAGTTATCTAATCTCCCAGAAAACAGCCTTCCTGCTAGGCTGACCTGCCAGCAGCAAACGCTCTGTGGAGGTTGTCCCACCAGCAGTCACCTTCCTGTCAGCGGTGAGTGCTCAGGCTCAGCTCTGGGTACCAGCCAACCTCTCTGGGTCTCCCCCACACTTTGCCAACACCACTGGGTGTAAATCCTCCATGCTTAAACACTGCTGCCAGCAGTCCCTCATCAGGCTTTTATCAGGACCAGTGACCTGGAAATGCAACTCTTCTGTACCCATGCAGAAGAACTACCACAGCACAATGGCACGTGGCTTTCCTTTGGATCCACTAGGAAGTTGAATTCCCCCCCTTGCTTTATTATCTGGAATAGCAGTATTTGACAAGCATACTGTGAAATATTTCACAGTGTTAGGTCTCCAAGGAATCTCTCCAAGGTCTCTCCCAAATGTAGCCAGAAGCCAGGTAAAGTTTCAGTGCTTAAAAACCACATAAAAGCGTTCTTCCTGGGTTGCAATAAGAAAGGAAACAGGTGAGACAAAGAAAAGATTAGTTCAGTCACTAGATCTAAGGACCAGAAGGGGTTAAACACTGGATCAGAAAACTGGATGGGCTCAGTAATCTACCAGTTAAGAAAGCAAACCCTTAAATACAATTTAAATGAAGTGAAGAGTCTCCTTCTTTCCTTCATAGCACTCCCTGATCCCCAGGCAGCCTGAGCCATCTCTCTGGGATGGAGCTCCAGACCCCTCACAGCTTCTCCCACCGCAGCAGAGCTCCCCACATTCCTTTACAATATGTGCAGGTTTCAGAGCATTTCCATAATCCACAATTTTCACACTAACACTTTAAGGAATTGCTTGCCTTTTTTTTTTTTTTTAATAAAATAAAACCCACTAAACTTTAGAGAAACTGTTCAAATGTCAGCCCCAGGAATAGCTTGTTAGACTGAAGGAAATCTATTCAGTTTTTTTTAAAAAAAGCGCCATTTTTCACTTATGACTGATATAAGATCAAGATATACACATGATCCTTTGTGAGGCTCTGTAGCAACAGCAAGAGCAGTAGCTCAGAGTCTCCTGTGATTCTGTTCTTCTGACTCCCGCGAGTCTGTCCTTCACCAGCACTCTGATCTCCAAGATCAGAGGAAGTTATTAATATAGCTAAATTGGCTGTTATTCTGATTTTATTTTCTGAGTGGGCCCTGCAGTGTCCCCTCCCCAGAGCTGTCACTCAGGAAGTTCACACCCTGTGTTCTATTCACACTATTTATCTGTCTTTCTCACGTTGCGTGTCACCATGACAGCCAGCAGAACGGGCCAGGAAGAGGCTATGAAACCACAGGAGAAAACACCAGACAGAGGGTTTCTCCCAGCAAGCCAGAGGCTGTCCTGCTGCAGGTTGATATCTCTCCACCCAATGATGCAGGCTTTAGGGGCTTGCCTCTTGCCGACCACAATCTCCTGGACCAGAGCCTCAGCTGCCTTATGCTCAGCCTTAGTGCAAGTCAGTTTTTACAGCTCTCCACCCCTGCAGAAGTATGGCTCCTTGCATCTTGAGTTACATGAACCAAAGTTACCCAAAATTCCAGGGAAGAGTTCACTGGCTTATTCCCAAGTTTTTACTGACAGCGCTCTTTCTTAAGAATCTGAAGCAAGTCCATTAGCTTTGAGATATTTACATGGCAGTAACAAAGCCTGAGAGGGAGCTGTGGCCACCCTAGTAGAGAAAGATGGCTGCAGTCCTGACTAACTTTGTTTTGAACCCGTTTCTCTTTCCAATGGAAAAAAAATGCATCTACAACCTATGAAAGATAAAGGCTCAACAGAACCATGATTTTTCTGATGCAGAGGAAAGCAGTTTGCTCTACAGATATGTTAGTTTAGGGGTCTCCTCCCGGGGAGGATGGAGAGAAAGCCCTTTGGCTCTGGCTTCTGTGCCAAGGTGGCTATGTGTTTGCTGCAGGACTTGCACAAGGTGAACACTTCCCCAGCACACGGCCAGAGCCCCTCTCTCTTTCACATGGACAGCAGAAAGAGGACAAGCTGTTGGCCGATGCTTATCATGGTGATGGATGTGAAGGGCTCAGCGGTCACTTCCCATTATCCTCCTCTTTACAGAGCATGCCTGTAAGGGTCAAACCAATCATTTAGTCTGCTTTGCCTGTTGCCAGCAGAGCTGGGCCATGCAGGTGAGAGAGGAGAAAATCCCCTCCTGATTTCTCTGCATGGAAACTCCTATAGCCACCGCTGGAGGCAGGAGATGGAGCCAGCAGGCTGGGCTCCTTACCTGACACAACAGGGCACAGGCTATGCTCTTGTTTGCACCAGATGTTGTTACGGGAGCCCTGAAGCAAAGGAAGAGCAGACACCTCTAACAGCAGTTCAAGACCAAAGCTGGGCCATGCCTGTGGCCAGTCCATCTGCCCCAGGAGGGCTCCAGCAGCTACCAAGCTCCAGGCAGGGCAGGGGAACAGGCCACAGCAGCCCTCATCTGCACTCTTCCAGGACACCAGCTCCACTAACTTTTCTCTCTTAAGGTTTCCCTCGGCAGGGGTAGAGGAGTACAATCTGCTGGCAAGGTAGTGCCTCTGCCCACTGCGATGTCCAGGACAGGGTAACACCAGCTTGATGCATCCTTTGGCATAAGCTGGATATCCATCGGCCAGTGCACGTGAGCAGAGACTACACACTGTCTTGCTCCGAATTCCTCTGAAGGTCTGGCTACTGTCCACATGGGGCGAGATGGGTACTTATCACCAAGAGAGATGCTACTCACTGCTTCCCACTGTGCGGACCAGCATACACAGCAGCTGACAACAGGAGGGAATGGAAAACTGGTCCAGAAAGGAGTGACCAAAACAGAGAAAGCTCTGGAACTTCTGCTCATAGTGGTGGAACAAAAGGACACTGAAAAAGTGAAAAGCTGCTAAGAAGACATTTTAAGAAATAAGAAATACAAGTTGCAGACTCAAGGCCAGTCATGGAGCCAAAGGTATGTAAACACTGGCATGCCCACGGGAGAATGAATTAGCAGGAGAAGACCGCTCTTGAAAGCGTTCCCACTGCATATTTGCTTGCCTGCCCCAGGGGAGGGCTCAAGAAGCCACGAGACACAACTGTGCAGAGGCTCAGAGCACCACTATCCAAGGTTACTCAAATAGACTTTCCCTCTGCTCCACTCGGCATCGAACCCCAACGTGCAAATCAGACCTAAGAGAAACATGATGGAGTGCTGCATTTCAACAGCTGGGAGAATACAGCCAGACACAATATCCTTTCCTCTGGTGGAGAGAAAGAAGCCAACAAGGATGTGCAGAAGGCAGGAAGCTCAACTCATAAGGCATAAGGGATGGGGAAGCAGTGGGATGCATTTTCAACAGCATTTGCTCCTGCAGAGAAAAGTATTCACTCCTGAGAACTCATCAACCACGCAGCCCTGTTGGACAGGATTCACTTCGGCCCAAGCACTCTTCATTAAAAACTGACAAGCACCCAAACCAATATAAAACCACAGTGAAAGCTTCTGGAGAGCCCTCACACCGAGCAGCTCTTACCAACTGGAGGAAACTGTTTCCTTTAGGAAAGGAAAATGCATCTCCATTTTCTACTTCTGTTTTTCCACAAATGACCCCTTCCTTATGAGATTTATTTAAATGATGTAAATACCAGCTCAGCCAGACCCCAATCCAAAGTCTGCTAAAGTCAGGGGAAAGTCTCCCGCTGGCTGCAGAGCTTCTTTGGACCACACACCAGAATTGTCACAGAGGTGATGCTGCTGCAGATCCTTCAACATCCAAAGCAGGTCACTGCTCTGTGGTGCCAGTCTCCACACAGGTGGGCTCTCCTCACCCCGAAAAACTAACAGGTTGTATGGAAACAGGGAAGCAAAATACAGCTTGAGCCTTACCGTGCTCTGTGACCTGCTCACGTTCTGCCTATATTCTCAGCTGTTAATCTGGCTGGAATCGGGATTCAAGCTGTCCTTGCTACACTACAGAAAAGGCAAACCTGAGATAACTGGAACAGAGAATGCTGTGAAGTCAAATATGGCACAATGTACCCATGCAGTGGGACTAAGAAGAACGGCAGATGTCCTCATCTTGCTGCCTGAGGATGCTGTTGGTCTTCTTGGCCACCTGGGCACACTGCTGGCTCATATTCAGTTGCTATTGGCCAACACCCTCAGGTCTTTTTTCACCTGAGAGCTTTGCAGCCACTCTTCCCCCAGCCTATAGTGTTCATGGGGCTGTTGTGACCCAAGTGCAGGACCCAGTACTTGGCCTTGTTGAACCTCACTCCACCGGCCTCAGCCCATCCACCCAGGCACCAAGGGTGGATCTGCCAATATACATGGCTGAGAGCAGGGCGCTCGGACGCCAGCAGGGCTTTCTCCCCAGCATTGTGTTTATGCAGCACAGCAGCACGCACAACCCACTCCACCTACAGCCATCCACCTTCCTGCCTTAATTCCCCATGTCACTTCAGCTTTGGAGGTAGGCCAGTTCTGATGTAGTCAGCTATAGTCATCTAAGACGATGCAATCTACTTACCTGCAGTACGAATACCTGAGCCTGCAAACCTGACCTTCGTTTTGCTGTAAGCCTTGATGCAAGTAAAGCTCAGCGCTAAGCGACAAGACAGGGGACCTGCACTTTGAACACAGCCACACTCAGACATTCCTGCCATACTTGCCCAGCTTTTGCTTTCCGAGGCCACACAGCCTCCCAAGAACAGCCCAGGGCAAAAGCAACCTGCGTTCCAGACGTGCTGTGAAAGGATCCCAAGGGCTTCAGTACCAGCTACAGAATCCTATGACATCCATTTATTATGGCTCAGCTTCAGCTTCCCTGATCCGGGGAATGAATCTGCCCTACGAGCCCAGCTGGGAGCCATGCTTTTGCAGTGCCTCTCAGAGATCTATTCTGTCATCTCTTGTGATTCTGGAGAGGACCTGTGCTTTCCAGCACAACACACCTCAGATCTGAAGTCCAGGATGTCAGCACAGGGCTTCTCTAGGGTGTCAGTGGTTCCCATGCAGTGCGTGCACATAAAGATGCAGAGCTGATTTGAAGATAAAAGGTTTTGAGTGAGGAAGCCTATTTAAAAGCACAACAGAAACCTAGACTTCAATCCTGCACCAACTGCCTCCTGTGACGCTCCTCACATCAATGTCACTGGATCCAGTGTCTTCACACTACTATGCTGTTAGCAAGCAGCTGTCTTTGGGTTTGTTTTTTTTTGTTGTCTTATTTTGGTTTGGTTTTTGTTTGCAGTCTTTAACATTCAGTCTTTAACGACAACATCTATTGTCCCTTCCATGAACAACACAATGAAACATTACAGAAAACCTACAGCCATGTCAGGACTTGCCTGACATAAATCTTTATGTAAAATGTTTCCCTTCCCTTGATTCCTCCCGACTGCATTCCCAACTGCAGGCAGGGATTGTTCTCAGGGAGGCTGAGGTTCCCTCTCGCAGGAACACAGCACAGAGTGTACCTTTGCTTTTGACAGTCATCTCTGGGACCACTCAAACAGAAGTAGAAGAATGTTCATGTCTGGGCAGTGAGAAAGCTGCAAGCTTGTCTGGAACAGCTAGCCTCGAGGGCTGAGGCTCCTGTCTCTCTGAGTAGAAGAACAGAGAAGCAGCAACTGGAAGCAGCAGGGTCCACTGCAGTTCTGGCCATCGCTGGGGAAAAGGAGGCCAGAAGGAGAGGAACTCCCTTGTGATGAGTTGGTTCTGGCTCAGCAGCATGAGCTGGAATGAGGGAGACTCCCATGTAATGAACCTTCTGCAGTTGCCAATGGTGAGCAAAGGAGCTGGGAATGAGTGGCCTCCCTGTGCAATGAGGTAACACCACCTCCTAACAAGGAAGGGCAGGAGACGCCTTCTAGAATGAGGGAGAACCTGCCAGGAAGATATAACAAAACAGAGCGTTTCCCTGCCCGAACAACAGAGCATAGAGGAGTTCTCATTAAATCATTAAAGCAGGGCACACTGCCAAACTGCCCACAGCCCTTTCAGAAACCATGCCCCACCTTGCAGGCCATCCCAGAAACATGCCTTCTCTGAGGTGGCTCCATCCTGTTCTTTCCTGCCCAGCCCTGTCTGTGTATGTGTCAGGGCACAGTACCTGCAGTGAAAATCTGCGCAGCTACTGCCAGGAAGGCGTCTGTCACCACCGTCTCCGAGTGCAGGGAGATGTTCAACTGGCGGGCGATGTTCCGGTAGACGTTGGGACGAATGTATTCCAGCTCATCCCCTGGAAACAAACAGCCTGGAGTCAGCACGCAGAACACCAAGTCCTGCTCCCACCACCTAGGAACTACAGCTGGGGCCACCCCACATATTCCTCCAGCTGAAGAGCCTTAACCCCAGCTCCACCTTATTTTAACCAGGCAGCAGAGTGCTTAGGCTCATTTGGATGCAATCCCCTGCCACCTGCACCTTGCTTTCCTAATATTCTGTGCGCCTGGCACTTCCAAAGGGAGCAGGGACATGGAGTGGCCCTGCACCAGTGGCATGGCTGCAGTAGTCTCCAATATACATGATGTTCCCAGGCTGGATGCCTACCTGTGCTCCAACACAGGAGACTGGCCTCAGATAAGCAAAGCTATCTCATTTTTCTTCAGAAGGTAAAAGGAGGCGTGTACATAAGCTTTTGAGAGATATGCTCAACACCCTGTACAAAAAAGCCTCAAGATGAGAGCGACTCAAGAATGTTGGAGGCTGATGAAAGCCAAGGATCCACCCAGAGCTGCACAACACTGAGCAAAGCGACTATCAGCTCTGCTACTTTATGCTCACACAGTGACAATCTGGAGTTCTTTCTCTCCTCCAAATGGTTAAAGAGATGTTCATTTGCCTGGCTGACCCCTCAGCAACAAGGTTCTCAACACACCCACAGACACAGGCTTTAGCCTCCAGGTTGTTTTCTCCCCAGCTGGGAGGTAGTTGGAGGTGCTATGGTAGCTTGAAGACCAAGAAGGAAATACCGAGGAAAAGCAGAGAACCTCCTGCCACAAGTTTGTGCTACCAACCTCGGGCAACGGCAGTAAAGCTTTTCCTCTGTAGCAAAACAAAATATTTTTGAGCAGTAGAATTAATAAAGCCCAGTTTCCAATGGATTTGTCTCTTTATAGGGGCTCAGAGACACTTAATGAGGGTTCCATGGCTGCTGTAGGAGCATTACACAACGTACACGTTGTATGAGACCAAGGCCCTTTTGTGCATGGAGAGTCCTGGTTGGTTTAGATTTAGGACACTCTGGAGCACCCAGGGGAAGGAAGAGGAGAGCTGTCACAACAGCTTTACATCCCGCTGCAAGACCCAGGTGACTTGCCCTAGTCAGAGGGCAACTGATCCTCCTGAAAACTTCATTTAGTTGGAGACTAAAGAAGAAGATGACACCCCAATCAGGAGCTTATTACAGAGTCATTAGCTACCAGACCTTAATTCATCCAACTGGTCACTGGCACTCAGCACAGCACAGGCAAAGCCCAGCTCCCCAGGCCCTTTGTGTGTGTGGGATTGTCCCACAATCTAACGGCAAGAGGAAACCCTGCCAACACATGGTCAGCCCTGATAAGGGGAAACATTACTCGCACAACTCAACAGCTGTTTTCTCCTCACAGGGAGCACAGAGGCTTCCCTGTAAATGCGAGGAAGTGGGGATAGCCCTGCCCGTGGTTAACTGAGAGGGAGGCATGGCAGGCTGGGATCCGCACTTGGTCGCCTGCCACTGTCACAGTTTTCAACAAGCAGTGCCTGGAGGCCCCATATGAGATTGGGTTTTGGTTGGAGGGGCACACGCTGCTGAAGTGCCCTGCAGCAAGGCACAGGGCAGACCAGCACAGCAGAGGAAGAGAAGCACAGGAAAGCAGTCCCAGGCTCACGGACTCCCTGCCCCAGTGGCCTCAGGACCTCCCCAGCAGCATGGGACACTGGTGGCAGTCTTCAGTGTCTGTGTGCAGATGCCTGACGGCACACTTAGCAACATTTAGAGCCATTTCAGTGTTTTCCCTCCTTCGTTCAGAAATCACGGAGGAGCGAGTAGGGCAGCAGTGATTGTTCCCACATGCAGAAGCTCAGTGGTGGTGAAACGGCACTTGCCTGGGCCTTAGCCAGAGGAGAGACAAGTTCAGATAAACCAGACCTCTGACACATATGGCAGGTTGGTCTGGGGTGTCTCATTTGGCCATACCATTAGTTTTTACCACTTCTGACTCACTAATTGCATTAATTAGCTGCTAAGCCTCACTAAGTTGATGGGCTCTCGCTCCCCAAAGACGTTTCAACTGCACTACTTGTGCCAGCACCTCTCCTAGCCCACCATCAGGCTTTCTACTGAGATAGTCTAATGGTGGGCTCCCTACTGCCTTGGCACACATGCAGGAGTGCTAGGAAATACTCTGACTTTGCATCTCCACAGCCTTCTCAGCACTATCATGGAGAAAAAACCCGTCCGGCTTGTTGCACTGCTTAGTAAGCAGCTAAGGACTACTGCTCCTGGCAGGTGGCTGGATACCACTCAGCCTCGTACTAGTTTATAGATGAAAAGAGGAAAAGAAAGGGACAGGCCATGTGGCAGGCAGCATTTCTGAACAAACAGTTCCGAAACAACTCCTCATCTTAATAAGGAGGACTGCTCACCCTTCTTGTTGCATGGGTACCACGTGGCTCCCTCCAAACAGATTTGCTCAGAGAAAGCGCCGAGTTCCTGCAACTATCAGCCAAATCTTTCCATCTGGACAGGGATAAGTAACAGGAGAGTCATCCAGGAGACGCCTTCAGATCCAGTCTGCCACCTGTTTGGCCTTTAACATGCTCCTGGCCACCCACAGAAGATCTGGTCTAAATCAAACAAATCTCAACCCCCAACCCAGGAAAAGAAGAAATGGAGGACAAAAAGGCAGTGAGAGTGACAGAAGAACAAAAAACCCCCAAAGAGCAAACAACTGCTGAAAACAAACAAAAAAAAGAAGTACAGTCAGCATAGGAGAGAAAAAGTGAAAAACAATAAGAAAATGAATGAATGGGGGGAAAAAAGTCAGTCAAAAGATACTTAAAAAGAAATTTGGGATAACATCAAACAGAAGTAGAAAGAAAGGGGAGAAAGTGGGGAGAGCAGCCTGGTCCTGAGTTTGTTAGGCCCAGCTAAAGGTTACTTCATCTGACTTATTTGAACTTCAGTGTAATTAAGTCAGATGCAAATGCTAGTGGTAGTTTCCAAGCCAGATGTGAACTAATGTACCAGCCTGGAGGCAAAGAGGAATGTTGGAAGCGACTTCCAAGAATGAGGGTGTTGAGATGCCAAAAGGCAAGCAGCTTGACTTGAGCATGCAGGAGGCTAAAACCTAAACCAAAAGGCCAGCTAACTGTCTGCATTTAGAGGTTACTCCTGGTACACACACAATGGCAGAGGATGTCTTCGTGTAGCAGCCTACAGGCATAACCTTTAAATCACCCCCCTGTGGCCCCGGCAGCCCCCCCAGCCACGAGGGGGGCTAGCTAGTTTGGGCACTGAAAAGCAGTGTATGTCATGCAACAGCAGCCAACTCCTCCTGGCTCCCACAAAAAGCAAGAAAACTCATGTCTTGCTGAAAGTAAGCAAAGTAAAAATCAAACACCCTGTCACTGAAAACAGGATAAAAATCTCCAACACACATGGTCTAAGCAACCACCCCCAAATTAAATGTCTTTGCAGCTGGGCAAGCAACTGCTGAAGCCCAAGTCCCGAGGTAGCAGTACTCCACCAGATGCCAGCTTGGGTTGCATCATGGCAGCCAAGTCACCTGTGTCTGGAGAAAACACTGCAAGACCTGTTAAATGCCAAGCTGAGAAAGACTAACGAAACTACTGTGAAAGCTGTTACACAGCTGGGGTCTTATGCAGATAAAATGAATTTGCTGTTGGGCTTTCTTAGACTGCATCATACTTTTAAGTTGTAGCAAGTTCTCAGAAAAGAAAAAAAAAAGTAGTTCTGCAGAAAAACCATGCTGAGCAGTGCTCCAAGGGACTGAGGAAATGCAAGTAAAAGAGCTGTTTAGGGAAGATCACAAAAAACAAATCTAAATGCCCAAAAGCAGAGAAGAAAAACCTCTGTATCATCATATGAAAAGCGTCTTGGCAGTCATGAGTTTCAGAAACCTTGGTCTGGTCTGAATTGCTCGGTGTAGTTTCAGCTCCTACCCATCCCTGCAGGGACTCACCTAGTCGCAGCAGTATGGTGGACACCTCGGCCAGCTTACCGCCAGGCACCGGGACGTTGTACTCAGGTTTGCTCCAGCTGACACCCGCCCGAATTAGCCTCGAATTTATGTAGTCTCTGCAGAGAGCCTTGGCTTGGGACACAAGCTCCTTGTCAGTGGGAGACCTGTCAAAAACCTCCATCACCTCTGCAGCAAAGACTGAGGAACGGCGTAGCACTTCCATCCTTGGCTGCTGAACCGACACCTCGGGATACGCAGCTGACCCGATGCCTTAGATGAGGATCTGCAGGAGCTGTGTGTAGTAATCCTCTGGTCTCTTGGTTTGTCACAGTTCCCAGCAGTTACTCTCAAAAGGCCAGTTTTTCATTTTACCTGGTTAATAAAAACAGTCCTCTAGCATTGCAAAGATGTAAATCAGGAGCCCAAGTATCATAACTTAAAGTTACGCTAAAGTCAGTGGCATCGTATTTACAAAACATTTGTCTAGGTGCATCTTACAGACAAGGGACAAAGTCTTCTTCCTTATGGCCATTCTGATTTTCACAGGCAGCATGACCCACAGAAGGGCTAAAGTTTTGAACTATCAAGGTATTCACTCTTTTGTGATTCAGCAATCCCAGGACTAACCTTCAGAGAGACTAAATGGTCAGAGTGTGGAAACAATTCATAGAATACGTAGACAATCTCAGCTTGTTTCAATTAAACTGGGAAAAAAAAATGAATCTCAAATACCAGCTACAGTAACCTCAACCAGATGTCAACATACATTCCAGCTCAGTAGGTCAGGGATCCTTCTGAAGAAATGGTGCTATTGCAAGCACGGGGGTGCAGGACCATTGGAAGTGTCTCACCAGAGACAGTTTACCACATTCTCAGTTTACATTTTGGTTCTGCCACTCTTTTTCTTTTTTTTTTTTTCCCCTCCAAAGCAATGTGCATACTTGTTGAAAACCTTTAGCAATGGCAGAGAGAACAAAACAGAAAAGCAGATTTTAAAAAAGTTTTCAGGTGTGAATGCCTAAAGATAAAATTCAAAATTTCTTCAGACACACCTGAATTCCTCTGTTGATCTGACTTCTTAATGCAGCACTGCTTTTGAAGTCAGTCAGACCGAAGTCTTTATTCAGACGTCAGTAAATGCATTTGTCAGTTCCCGGTTTCAGACACGGATTTACAATAATAATGATTTTCAAATGAAATAAAGACAGCTATTTCTGGCTTTCCCGATTAAAAATATATTTACCTCTCAGCCTGCACTTTTTCCCCCCTCAGTGATTTCTCGTTGGGTTTGGTTTCACGTCTCTTTGGCAGCTCTGCATCAGCGCGTACCGGGGGGGGCTCACAGGACGCCGTCCCCCGTCTCCCCCCGGCGCCCCCCGCGGGGCTCCCCGCCGCCCCCCATCCCGCCAGCCCGGGGCTCCTCGGCTGCTTTGAAGGCGGCAGAGGAAAGCGTCTGGCTTTAGCCTTGTAAGGAAGATGAAATAACCGGGAGGTGGGGTTGCTATAGCCGGAGAGGAACGGTTCCTCCTCCCCTTTCTTCTCTCTTAAGGAGGTTCTCTGTTGTTCTCCTGCCAGTGCCCAGAGCTCCCCTCAAGGACTGGACCTGGGGGTGAGGTGGGTTACCCCGTGTAACCCAACCAGGTCACCTGGAGCAGGTCACCCCCCGGATCAGCCAGCCATGAAGGCGCTGCTGGAACAGGAATAGCTCTCGGTGAATCCCTGCGGCGGCTTTTGGGCAGATACAGTGCTAAGGGACATGGTGTAGGGGAGGACTTTGTAGAGTAGGGCAGATGGTTGGACTCGATGATCCCAAGGGTCTCTTCCAACCTGAATGATTCTATGATTCTATGATTCTATGATGCTGGCCAGTCCTTTTCCTGGGGTAGCCGAGTTGGGGAACTGCAGGTTGCCTTATTTCAGCGGTGAGTTACTCACACCAGTTCAATCCCGAAGGATGGAGGTGATGAACAAAGAGAGCTCCAGCTCAGGGCGAAAGCCAGAAGTGTTTGCATTCCCCCAAACTATGAGTACTCTGGTTAAAAAAAAAAAATAAAATGAAGTGGGTTTGCTGGTAGGAAATAGTTGGTCCAGAATGAACTTCTCTGCAGGAACACATCTGTTTCATCTGAGTGTGTTACGAAAATTAACATACAAAGTTTAAGGAAAACATTTCTGTTAGTTCCAACATACTTGGAAATCAATTTCAACATCAACTTCTTGTTGCAACGTTACTGTATTGATGCCACGATGCTCAACTATTTTTCCATGTGAGTGTGAGATACCATTTCAACTCCACAGACCACATACAAATGTTGCCTTTTTGTGTTATGATTTGGAACAAAAGAAGCTTTAGAAATAGAAGTTTTCTGCAAGAAATTCTACCAGCCCAAACACAAATAACAACTTGTAGATTAATGACCGGGTACTGGCATATTTAAAATACAGCCTTTCCAAAAGGAAGTCAGAAGCAAGAGGTTGCCACATCGTGCTTGTCACCTCCGAGAAAAGACAGGGGCAAGTACACCTCTCCAAGGCGTTGATCATAAAAAAAGCCCAAGCACAACTCGCACCACTGCTGGTTTCAAAGCTGAGGGATAAAAAGGAACAACCGAACTGCATGAAAATGCCTTAATATATGATGCATGGAGTCCTCTAGTCAGCATCAACACACAACTCGGGCGCAGGCTCAACGCAGAGCGTAGCTTTGGGCTGCCATGGACTGGAGGCTGCTGTCCGCGCTGGGCAGGAGCCGGCGGCAACTCCCGTCCTCCCTCCAGCCACACATCCTGCTCCTGACTCGGCTTCTCCTGGGAAAGGAGCAGGGTTAAGGAGAGGTGTGTGTATGTAGCAGTCATCAGCTGGGGACATAGCTCAATATGGTCATGGTAAGATGGCCATAGAGACTGCACATCTCCAGCACCTCAAGTATTTGCTCAAAGATTCTCTCAGAAATTTGTTTTTAGCCTTCCTCAAATTTAGATACAGTCGCTACAGACAGAGGCCCGTCCCTGAATCAAGAATACAGAAATCCCGTGCTACTGCCCACCCGTAACACACGCCTTCTCTGCAGAGTGCTCCTAATCATCTCTTTGAAAAATCTTATTTTTGCCTTTGCAACTCTGATGGCTGAAAAAGAATTAAAAATTATGTTTTAGCTTCCTGCAGCAGCCGACAGCTTGAAACAGCAGTCCAATTTAAACCGTGCCTATTCAGTAGAGCTTGGAAACAAAGATGAGTGTTTAAATATCAGTATTGCTTAACTAATGATAATGTCACCCAGAACTCTAGCAAATATGCAAGTGCCATAGTGCCTCCCAGCTCTCCGCAGGTGCCAAACCCCTGTGTCCCCTGCCCAACTGTCACAGCATGCAGCACCCCTCAACTTCCACCCTGCAGCAAAGACACAAAAGCTAGAAGTGTGAAGGCTGGGTATAATAAGTCAAACTTTGAGTAAAAAACCCCAAACAAACAGTACATCATATTCACCTATACTATTTAAATAGTAAAAATACATCTTACAGAATGAATATATATGAATATCTTCACACTGAAAGATACCTCTGTTAAGTAAAAATAGATGAAACCACAGTATAAAGTGCTCAGCTGAATGCAGAAGAACAGGGGTGTTAGAATCCAAGGAGCTTCCAGCGTACTCCGAGCCCCTTCTTCCATAGTATGCTTAGGCTACAACATTTAAGAGGCTAGATCGATACTGGAAAAACTCTTGTGGCAAAGGAGCATCAGGAAATGGTGCAGAAACAGCTTCTATTGCCCAAACCCACTGTTCCCAGTGTAGCTATTACTGGCAGGAGAGTGTTCTGGCTGGAGCAACAGGCTCCATGCTGCAGCTCCTGCCTATCTCCCGTGGGGTGACCAAAATAGCTTGGAGCCTTCATTTGGTGAAACCAGGGGACCGCAGAGATATGACTACATTTTCTACATACATCTGACTACATTTCATCAAGCGGAAGCAAACCCTGGAGAGAGCACAGCACCAGTCTAAATGTGGACAGCTTATGCTCAATGTGAAATAGTTTCACCATTAGAGAAGTAAGTCCCTGGAAGGGCCTTTTAACAGCTGCAGTGGAAGCAAAAAAGCTAATTGTGAGCACACTAAGCTTATAAAAAGGTTTGCATCATATGGTTTCCTGCAACAGCAGGAGAATAACCCTGAGTGCCCTAGGAGGTCATTTCCAGCCTTGTGTTCACACGGCCTGGTTTCTGTTGGAACTATTGTTTTGTTTCACCTCACGGTGCCAATCCCAGCCCTTCCACACAGCCTACCTCAACTCCAGCAGGAACAACACACTCAACACACAGATCCAGTGTTCAAAAACACCTGCAAAGTAGGGACTGGGAGAAGCAGAGGGATGCCAGAGACACACAGTTAATAGCCAGAGAGCCTAGGAACCAACCCGCTAGCCCCTGCCTGCTTCAGAGAGAAGATGCTCTGGCAAAACACTGGCACAGTAACCAGACCAAAGCCTTCTACCAAACCCTCCCTGAACCTTCTTCTGCCTTATCTCACCCAGCTTTAACATACCATCTTCTCCCCACTGATTCTTCCCGCCTGATTTTTGCAGCAATACTTAATTCTGCATTTGTGAAGTTTGCAAGTTGCCACTGCAAAACCACCTATGCCACCAGGCTTTAGGCTGCAAAGCCATACAGGAGGAACAGGGAGGCTAGAAATATTTTGCCAGCTGCAACAGGAAAACAATACGTGGAAGCAGCAGCTTAATGAGACCCAAGCGAAATACCAAGGCTTTTTGAACCTTTCTCTTGTTCCCGAAGGGCTTGATTCAGAGCCTTCTGAAAGCCAATTAGTTATTTCTATTACTTGCATGACAGGATCACCTGGAGCACCTTTTCTGGAGCAGGATTTTGCTGTGCCAAGTGTCACGTGCCAGAGCAGAGGGGATGTGACACAGTGAACTTATCTCCCACAGCCTTTAGACAGCTCTCTTTCATGACGTTATGGGTCTAGTGACTTAAACGCATCAAGTTTAGCAACCAATCCATTACTTAGGTTTCTGACATAGATTAGCAGTCATACCCAACGTTTTCTTCTCTTAACTCACTGCCAAGCTCACTGCCTCTGTAGACACAACTTCCTTGTTATACGTATATTTTGACCAAGGCAGAACAAAGATACGGTGTACTACAGAGCTGATGCACAAACACGGTGAAGGGGGAACTGCAGCATGAATTTAACTTTTGCAAGTAGTGCTGTGAGTTGAATCATAGAACATCTCTATCTGTATTCCTGAATCTTATTCTGGAAATGGTGCCTGAGAAGCATTTAACCAACCATTGCTACTCAGGTATCAAGCCAGCAGCTGCCAGCCCTGTAAAACAGCAGCTCCTAGCTAAATCCAGGACTTTGACAAGGCTGCATTATAAGCTTAAGAATCTAATTGAATAGATATAACTGGTTTGGTTGTTTCCTATCTTTTCAATTTCTTCAAAGTGACACATTTTACCAAACAGATCATCCCTTAAGCCAAGAAGGTGGCAGACACAAAGAAGAAATAAGAAGCTTTAAGTTGTTCAACAGCTATAGTTTTGTTTTGAAACACAAATTAAATATTTACATACCGTACCTCCAAAACAGAAAAGGCAGAAAACACTAATGAGGTCACTATCACCAAGAGAGCAAAGAGGATTCTTCACTTTCAAGCTCTAACTCACAAACGCAGAGGATAAGCCTTTGTCTCATTCTAGTGATTGATCACCCAAGTAGTCTGGGATTCAGTTCACACTTACACACAGGACACGTACACATGGACAGAGGAAGGTTCCTCTGCCTGCAATGATCCTGAAATCTCAAGAGCCTGAAGTGGGTGCCGGCACTTCTGCACTGGCTCAGCAGCATTTATGAGCTCTGATGCATTTATCTGCTGCTTTGAGACATATGCTGGTGCACAGACATGTCCTACACAGTCAGATGGATTGCTGGATCTGATAACCACAAGGCAGGACTCCTTACCCTGCAGACATCTTCATGTCCTAAAACATGCTTCAAGGGATTTAGACTCAAATGTTACATATGCAGAATATAGCCATACTTTTAATCAAACCCTTACTGACTTTCAGAAAGGCTCTACAGGCTCTTCATTCTTAGCCTTAGGCAAGGCAGCAGCTATGCATTTGAAAAAATCCGTCTTTTCAAGTTGTCAGACAAAGAGTGCAGGCTGATGTCTCTAGTCTGCACAGATCAAATTCAGAGTGCATGATTGCTTCACACGCAGCGATTATACCATACGGCACTTGGGCCATTAGGATGCTGCTCCACCTCAGCTGCTGGCAAAGCCATTCTACACGCTTGATACAAGGGCAAGTGTAGGGTCCTGCACCTGGGGAGGAAGAATGCC